TCAGCCAAGTATCTCAACATTATTCCCCACGTTTCCCCATTCCAACCCTATCCCAGTCTCTGGATCCCAGAGCCCTGTTGTTCCAAGGCTGTGAGCAGGCTAATTTTTAAGTTGATAATTTTGTAGTGTCCACAAATGATGTTATAAAAAAATTTTTTTAATATTTTATTGTGAATTATGTGATAGTTTACATGGAAGAACGTTAGTTTTACATTCATTCTATTGTATATCGTCTCATTGCCATGGTTACAATCCCCTCCATGCAATCCTTCTCCCGTGCCCCCCAGGTTTTCAACACACAGTCACTCTCCCTCTCTGGATCTAAAGTCTCCAGCTGCTCCATCACTCCACGTCATCATCTCTGGCTCCATTTCAGGCATCGTTGCTTCTCTGGGTAGGGTCCCGCTCTCTGCTCTTCTCACTTGATGGTCCTAGGTACCTCCGCTCCTAGACTGAAAAGTTAGTCACTTCCCTCCTTGCTATAAAACGTCTACCTTTATATTTGCAACCCTCACAATCAGTCCTGATAACAATTATTCACTATTGTATCACAGGAGACCCGTCTGCATTTCATTGCATCAGCCCCGCCTAGTCAGATTGAATACTACTCACTGGAAATTCTATCTTCCTCCAGGCCCTCTGGATCTAGGTTCCCTCTTGAAAGCTTGCAAGCCAGATGTTATAAATTTTGGCAGAAAAAGGGTTTCCCATCCCTGCTGAACATAGACCTAGAGGCAGTCATTCAGACAGAACAAGGAAATACAGAATGGGTTAAAATAAGGAGAGGTGTGATCCAGGGTTGTATCCTTTTACCATACTTATTCAAACTGCATACTGAACAAATATCTGAGAAACAGGATTATATGAAGAAGAACGACCTCTTTAAAGTGTTAAAGAACAAAGATACTGGTTTGTAGACTAAGGTGCACCTGACCCAAGCCAGATATTTTCAGTCCCCTCATATGCATGTGAAAGTTGGACAATGAATAAGGAAAACCATGGAAGAATTGATGCATTTGAAGTATGGTGTTGGTGAAGAACATTGAAAGTACCGTGGACTGCCAGAAGAACAAACAAATGTCTTGGAAGACGTACAGCCAGAATGCTCATTAGAAGCAAGAATGGTGAGATTTTGTCTCTTGTACTTTGGACATGTTGTCAGGAAGTATCAGTCCCTGGAGAAGGACATAATACTTGGAAAAGTGGATCATCAACAAAAAAAGAGAAATACCCCTAATGAAATGACTTGACACACTGGCTGCAACAATGGGCTCATCAAACATTAACAGTTGTGAGGATGGTGCAAGACCAAGCTGTTTCATTCTGTTGTGCATAGGGTTGCTATGAGTTGGAACTGATTCAGTGGCACTTAACATTATCTTTAAAGCTCCCCAAGTGATTCTAATATGCAGCAATCCTAGTCATTCTGCTGTAATTTTCATCCAGCCATCCTGTCTAGAGTAAAGGGAGAATATGTACTACAAGTTACAAGTACTTGACAAGTCCTGGTACTTGACAAGACCTGTCTTTTTGTTTCACAGTACACCTCTCCAGGGAAAATGCCTGTCTTCCACTGAGTTCAAGTTGGATTGGCATTATAGAAATGCCTTCAAAGTTAAAACTTCTTTAGTTGATTCTACTCTCTCTTTCCTGCCTGCCTTCTCACTGTTTCTAATAATAATTACAGAAATTTAGTGAGCACTTACTACCCGGAAAATGCTTTTATAAACATTATCCCATTTAATCATCTCAAAATCATGATGAAGTAAAGATTATAACTCTCATCTTACAAATGAGAAAACTGAGGTTAAAATTAAGTGACAACCAAGGATCACATAGCTTAGGCTGCCAACCCGAGATTCCAATCTAGTCTGGTCTTCCTCTGAAAATCTTTCTACCTGGAATGGCATTATAGGATAAGCAGTAGACTTCAAGGCACAAGGTCAGCCATTTGAGCCACAAATCACTCCATGGGAGAAAGATCAGGCTGTCTGCTCCCACAGAAATTTACAGCCTCGGAAACCTATACAGGGTTGTTATGAGTCAGGTTCAATGGCACTTAACAACAATTATGTAGTAGGCCCTAAAGGGACCAGAACAATGTTCCTGCCCTGAAGGAATCACCTGTCTAGTATAGGAAGATAATGCAAAGTATGATAAAAGGATCACATTGAAGTAGCTAGAGAACTCCATCCTGTTTGCTACTAGTCTGTTTGGTAGACCTCACCAAGAGGGACTACCTAAGCAGAGGTCTTTGCTGGTAGTCAGGCATGGGGACAAAGGTAGCTGCATGAGGAAAGGCTAAGAGATGCCCTAAACCTGCATATTACCAAAATCTAAAATGAAGTGGTAGAGTGTAAGACAAACCTAGACAAGAACTGTATTTTAGGGCCTTGTGTGTCATGCAAATGAATTTGGATTATCCCATGCGTGATGGGGGAGTGTTTTAGGTGGGTGAATAATACAAATCAGGTTTTTCGCAAAGAAACATCCTTCTGACAATAAGGAGGGATGCACAGGCAGGAAGGTTGTTTCATGATGCTTTTATTTAATTTTTCTTGATTTATTTTGAGGACCTGAAGATATTTAAACAGTTTTCTGTGTAGTCAAAAAAGTATATTCTATATGTAGTTAAATTTTTTGTTGTCAGTTGGGTGAACATTTACAGAGCAGATGAACGGTTTTACATTTGACAATTCACATACATTTCATTCCTCTCTATGTTTCTTATTTCCATTCCACCTCCTTTCCTAATTCTTTTAACCTTTGTCCTTGAGTAAATGCTGCCCTTTTGATCTCAAACAGTGGATATTTGTAAGATGTGTGTACCTCACAAGTGTTACTGTTCTTATTGTATCTATCTATTGTTTGGCTGAAAATTGAGCCACAAAGCTGAGTTCAGTTCCAGACCCGAAGGGTGGCTAAGGGCTGTAATCTTGGACAGGGTTCCACCAGTCTTCCAGACCAGCAGACCTGATCTTTTTATGATTTTGAGCTTTGTTCCACTGTTTTCTCCCTAGAAGTTCTTTTTCTTATGGAAGCAAGAAAAATGTCACTCATATTATTGAATGAATTAATACCATACTTCTGTAGTTGTTTGCTTAAAGTACGTGTTTAAAATGTGGTGTTTAAACATCACCAGTTTGGGTGAAATTTTGTTGTTGCTTTTTCAAAACTAAGAGTTGGGACACAGGTATGAAATGGCAGGGTTTGTCTTTTTTTTTCTTTCTAGTGGCTTCTTTTTTCTGGGACAAATAGGTAAATTTTGCTTAAGGGCTAGTACCTCATGTTTGTGTGATTCTCAAATTCCCTAATCCTGGGATTCACAACTTGAGATAGCAAGGGAGTGTGACTTGTTTTAGAGTGGCCTGAGAACCAAGAGCCCCTTTATAGTGATTGCAAAGGTAGGCATAGAACAGAAATGTGGGACATTTCCAAGGGGCTCCTCCAAGGCCATAGCCATTCTTAACCTGCCCAGAATCCCTCCAATGGAGAGTCCTAAGGAAATTGCTTCTCACATAATCTGTTCTCTGAGGTCCTCTTTGCTCCCTCATCCCCAACTATTCTTTCCTTTGACCAGGACTTTCAGACATATATGATCTTCATGATGCCCTGTCCCTAGAGATTAGCCATATTGAATGGGAAAGGAGCAAGAACCAGGAGAAAGTACCCTTCTCTTGACTCTAGGCCATAATGTGCTAATGGGCAGACTGATAGCAGATCAGCCCCTCTACCCTGGAACGTTGTATGGTACTTTCCTATCATAAAGTATGTCCCCTAAGAAACAGAAAGGGAAAACACACACCATAAAATATTTTTTAAAAGAAAGAAAATGGCAGAAGAAAGCTTCTTATTAGTACAAATCTAGGTCTTAGAGAGGGACTAGGTATTACTGCCATTGACACTCTCAGTCTGCAATACACATGGTGGTGTGCCAGAGGGACATCAGTTGAGATCAAGCTGGAGAGTTACTCTTAAACATTTACTGACTGGAAACAACAGTCCTTGTGAACTCAGGTGTCACCAGGTGTTCACTCACGTGTCACCTTCAGTATCATCTTCAAGTGTTAGCCTCACAGATCATCAGGTGCACTCAGCCCTGGCCACTTGTTACCTGCCTACAGGACGGGCAGCCTCATTTTACACATGGGCTCATCCTTCCTCAAGGACATTGTTCCTCCCAGGTGTATTCTGTTACCTGGTTCTACTAGTATGGTCTCTAAGAATTCCCTGCCTTTATAGAGGACTCATGAATTCATCACATTTCCCAGATTTGGAATCAAAAATTTATCTCTCAGGCAATGAATGAGCATTTTTTGAAACTCTAGATTCTCAGCCTTCAGCATTCCTCTCCCTGTTCAAAACAGCATGTTGATGGCATGACTGTTTTCAGTGGCTGGAGTCCAGTCCTGAGGCTTCACCCCACATATCCATTCCTTTGCAGCCAGAGGGATCCTAGTTAGTCTTTACTCTCAATTGTGGGAGCTGATCTCAAGGGAAATCAAGGGTTCATAGTATTCCCAATAACTCATCACTGTATGTTTCCTCACATCAGTTTAGCCACCTTTATGAGGGCATCCTGCTAGAACAGGTGGATGTGATCAGTCATTCCACGATGCACATTTCTATCCTTTGCCTCAGTAACTAAGATAGATGGGTATTATGGGACCTTGCTTTGGAGCTGAGTTATGCCCTGGAGATTTTAGTCAGGCTAAATCCATCAAAGATATTAAAAAGAGCACATGAGATCAAGAAGTAAATTAGCTCCTGATCTATTGAATGTTCTCCCCCTAAGATTAGTATTCCACATTGTTTTCATTGCCACTGGGTACTTAACGTTGTATGTTAATGTTTGGGCAAGTTTGCACATAGTGGAAAAAAACTGCAGTGTAGTAACAAAGTTAATATATGTCTGGGCTCTACTGTTTTCAGCTAACTCTTAAGAACCAGAGGGCATTGCTTGCTCCTTGGGCAAATCACTCTGTTGGTTTTCTTTTCAGGTGATCTTAAAGGGCAGCAAGGAACGCAGCACTGGGGCCACTGGAGTTAATGCAGATTCCTCCCGCTCCCATGCTATCATCCAAATTCAGATCAAAGATTCAGCCAAGAGGACGTTTGGCAGGTAAGCTGAAAATATGCAGGAATTGCGTTGTCTCCCTTTGCCTAATGTGACTTTGAAATATGTGTTATCAACAACAGAACACCCTGCCATGGTGTTCTTCATTGCAGGGACACAGAGCAGAGTTGTTAGCCCTGAAATGAATCATTGTACTAAAGTGCCATCAGTTGATTAACCATGAAGTAATGACCTATTGTTGGTCAACCCTAAGTTATTAAAAGGGACATTGATTGCTTCTAACTTGAAGCATAGTATCAGCAGAGGAACAGCCTAGAATACATCTCTGAGAGCTTACGACAAAAAAAAAAAAAAAAGGGGGGGGGGGTTGGGGGAATTAATCCATCCTTCTTGAAAGAAGCCATAAGACAATTGGGTACATTCATTGCTTCTCTGGTGCTATCTTAGCAAATTCTGCCACACTGATGGATGAGCCGATCTCACCTCTGAGTAATGACTTTTCTTCTTTTCTTTTTTTTTACTGGAAAGCAGCCCACAAAAGTGTTTCTGTTTAATTATCTAAGTAGTCACCTAAGTGATTTGCATTGTGGTCATTTAGCCTCATGGAAAGAGTGCTTTATTAATTTCATGCTTTCTCACAAATTATTAAAACGCACAGACGTGTCTGCACCAACAGTGCCAGCAGCACCTGACAGAACACAATTTGGCAATACTTTCAGAAAGCTGCCAGGAATGTCTTGCTTCTCCTAAGGATGAGCCAAATGCTGACCAAAGTGAAAATAAACCAGAGAGCCAAACAAGTCATCCCTGCTGTGTCTTTTTCTCTAGGATCTCTTTTATTGACTTGGCTGGCAGTGAAAGAGCAGCAGATGCCAGAGACTCAGATAGACAGACAAAGATGGAAGGCGCAGAAATAAACCAGAGTCTTCTGGCTGTAAGTTGTCCAAAAGCTTTCATCTAGAAATCTTGACTGAGAGATTTTGCTCTTCTTTACATGAGCCATAGGCAGTGAGGGTGGAGTGGAATCATCAGAGCAGTGGGAATGGGGAATTCCACAGTTGGAGACAGAAGCTGCCCAGTCAGCCTCTCAACAACTTGAGCAACTCTTCCCTTCTCTCCCTGCCCTCTCTTCCTCTGGTCAGTCCCTGCCAATTAGGATCAAAAGAGTGCTAAGTGTTTAGATTAGGTGACCTTTCCCCTTTTCTCCAAGCTTTTAAGACTATTAATTTTCAAACATAACAAAAGTAGAATGGAAGGTACACTGATTCCTCATATACCTGTCATCCATCTTCAGCAATACGCTTATGATTTCTTTGAATTTTTTTTTTTTTGAGTGAAGCACATTTTATTCTTCAAAGTAATATAATTGCAGTTTTACACTTTAGAGAGGTCTTTTGCAGCATATTTGCCCAATGCAATAAATACATTGTTTGATTTAGTCACTGCTATTTCCCTTGGCATTAATTGTGGATCCAAGGAAAGCAAAATTCTTTTTTTTTTTTTTTTTTTTTT